TAGGGTAGGGAGACACTACAGGCAAAATTAGCATAAAAAGGAAAAAAAATCCCTAAAAACATGACAAAGCAAGATGCGGTTGGTTTATAAGCATGGATATTACATAAAGTGGGGTGGGAGTTAACACTAGTTGGAAATATCTTTAAAGCATGCATGGATTGGGTACTACAAGCCATGATAAAGAATTTATTTATTTTTTCCAGTAGGAAATAGACAGACTTGAAACATTTTACCAGAGGCATGGCCAGATAAAGTGTTCGAGACAGATAATTTTGATGGCTAAATTCACTTACTATATATTTATTGAAAGCCTGTTATAAGCCAGGATTTAACTAAGCAATTTTTTAAAAGAATATCTTTGGTTGCTTGAAGCATAGAGCATAAAGCTATGTTCATGAAGTAAGATAAACAAGTATTAGCAAAGAAGCCTGGCATGGTGATTCACACCTGTAATCCCAGCACTTTGGGAGGCTGAGGCAGGCAGACCACTTGAGGTCAGGAGTTCGAGACCAGCCTGGCCAACATGGTGAAACCCCATCTCTAATAAAAACACAGAAAAGAGTATATATATATATATATATATATATATATATATATATATATACACACACACACACACACACATATATGCACAAAGAAACGGTGATAGAACTTTATCATTAATATTAACTATCGAAACATCTCTGCCAACACTACAATATATTAGGAAAAAACAAGTTATCCTCATCACTATTACTCATTAGAAAAATGCAAATCAAAACCATAATGAGATGCCACTTCACACTCACTAGGATGACTGTAATAAAAAAAGACAACAAATGTTTACTAGGTCACAGAAAAATTGAAACCCTCATACGTTGCTTGTGGGAATATAAAATAATACAGCCACTCTGGAAGCAGTCTGATCAGTCCTCAAAAAGCTAAATACAGTTTATGATCTGTATTTAGTCATATGACCTAGCAATTCCACTGCTAGGTGTACATCCAAGAGAAATAATTGCCTATGTCTATCCTAAAATTTGTACACAAATGTTCATAGCATCATTATTATGATGGCCTCAGAATGTTAACAATATCCATAAACTAATGAACAGATAAACAAAATGTGGTATGTCCACATTATTATTTGCCATAAAAAGAAATGAAGTACTGACACATACTATAATTTAGATGAGCACTGAAAACTTGCTAAGTGAAAGAAGTCAGTCATAAAGAACAACATATTTACATATGAAATACACAGAATATATAAACCTACAGAAACACACAGTAGATTAATGGTTGCCTAGATGTGGGACAGTTTGGGGGTTAAGGGGGTGATGGCTAAGAAGTGCAAGGTTTCTTTTTAGGGTGATTAAAATAGTCTAAATTTGATTATGGCAATGGTTGTATAGCTCTGTTAATATACTAAAAGCCATGTAATTGTACAATTTAAACGGATAAGTTAAATGGTACATGAATTACATCTCAATAAAGTTTTTATTTAAAAAATCAAATCTTGAACAATATTTTCCAAATTCTATTTCCCCCTTCTTCATCAAGCCAGATGGTGTCCTTTCCAGTACAGAATGTACTATGACACTCAAGTGCCAGAAAAATGCCAACGTTTTCTGTTACTGGCAGTTATTTTTTCTAGAAAAAGTAAACTTCCAGTTGTTCAGCAGAAAACAGTATTTCTATGATATCTAAACAATAAGAGAACAGAAATTTTGACCCATCTGGCATGAAAGGTGAACTATAATGTTTCTACAACATCAAAATCTAAAATGCTTTTCTATCAATCAATTTCATCTTCCATCTGTCTTAATCCAATCACTAGCGTAAAAATTTTCAATAACTAGGGCTGTTAGATTATAAACTTTTGAAAGCAAAACCATGAGGAAGAAAGGCGTTAGCTTTTGAAAAGAAGAATTGAATCTAATCTCTGCCAAGGCCAAGTAAAAGCCATGTGGTCTCAGCCAAATATTTAACTTCTCTGAGCATCAAGTTTTTAATCTGCAAAATGGGAATAATACCAGTTTCCCTAACCTGTCAAGATTTGAGGTAGCATCAAATGGTATTTGCTACCAGACTCTGAAACTGTTCATCAATATAATGCAAAACCAGTAAATCTGAAACACTGGATATTGTAGTACAAAATTAAATATTAGTAACTTAAAGTAGAGTTTTAGAAGCAATAAAGTCAAAAAGGGAAATAAAAAAATTTAATATTCAAATTCTTTCAAGACTAGGGACATCTAAAATGAAGATATACAAAAACATAAGTGTGAGAAAGAAATTTTACATGACATATTTACACGTACATTTTCCTAAGAATTTTTGAAACATATTGGTATAATGATGAGTTATCTATTGTTATAATTATGAATAAGTTATCATTGTTGGAAATTCCAGAGTTAAAGTTAATGCTAAGGTAGCATTTCAATTTTTATTCGCTTATAACCACATTCCTATTAGCCCAGGAGTCAGATGAGATAAATATACTGATAAGGATACTAAATAACAGAAGACAGGAACCAAGAAAAGGAAACCTAAAAAAAGGAAACATGTTTGCATGTATATGTAATTAAATATGTATTCATGCAAACAAGGAATTGGGTTCAAAACAATCTGCTTGTTAACATCTTGGTCTATATATAAACCCAAGTTAGTTTTCCCATAATCTTATTTTATTTTTTTACCCCTGGACATTCCAATATTGCTAGAAAAATAAACACAAGCATGCTGATTAATTGGCTTTACTGCAAATACATATCTCCAGCTTCAGCTGGGATTCCATGATTACTTGGAAATCAGGTGTTGTCTCTAGTCTTTCTTCCTTCTCATACTTCCCGCAGCAGCTATACACTTTAAATATTATTTTCTCTGGGCCTCTGCTCTACCATCTCAAAGAACCATTCTTGCCAATAAAGAAAACAGATACCATAGAATGTTGGTTTTCTTTCAGCCTTTCTTACAGCAATATCTATAGTAGCACCCATCCTTCATTCATCAGAACAGCAACTAATAATGTGATTCTTCATTTATTATCTGCCACGTGCAAAGCATTAGGCTGAACACTTTGCATATAATAAGTAATTTGGATCCTACAATAATCTTGTAAGTGTTTCTACTTTACAGAAAAGTGAAGCTCAGAGGCGCTAACTGACTTGTTCGAGGTTCATAGCTAATCAATGGTAAAAAACAGATTTGAATCCAGGTCTATGTTGTCTCCTTGCCTCTGAAAAGGGGTTTCAGGCTCGTCCCAACATTTCCACTTTTACAGAGCAACACCACATTCATAAATGTATTGTCACTATGGTGTGACTTTCTCTTTCCTAATCAGGACTAAGAAAAGACTTCTTAATTGTTATATTTAGTGAAAAATGTAGTTTATGCAACTATACATGCTATGCATTTGAATATATATCTATATTAGTTACATTAACAAAAATTTTTCACAAAATGTAAATTGATGATTTAGATCTTCCTAAGACATGAAAGTTGAAAGAGTGACTTCCATTGCATTACAAGAAAAATTCAAAATACCAGGTTATGCTGAAAACAGTTACTATCTTTCCTCTTTCTCTTCATCTACTGAGTAGAAAACAAACAAACAAACAAGATTTCCTGCTTCAGTTTAGCAACATCTGCAGACACATCGGTTTTTAAAAACTGTGTCCTCCTTTAATGGTCCTTACTAATCTAGGCCCTCACTAGCCTCAAAGAGTTTTCTCACATGACTTTTAATTAAAACTTCATCAGTTTAGGTCTTTAATGTCTCATCTAAGTCACAACGTTTATGGTGCTTCTTACATAGAGGTTTAATTCCCTGGGACCACATCACATTTCACCCTTTTTCATTTTCTTTCTTTCTTTTTTTTTTTTTTTTTTTTCTCGAGACCAAGTCTTTCTCCGTTGTCCAGGCTAGAGTGCAGTGACACAATCTTGGCTCACTGCAACCTCTGTCTCCCGGGTTCAAGTAATTCTCCTGCCTCAGCCTCCCAAGTAGCTGGGATTATAAGTGCATGCCACCACACCTGGCTAATTTTTGTATTTTTGATAGAGACAGGGTTTCACCATGTTGGTCAGGCTGGTCTTGAACTCCTGACCTCAAGTGACCTGCCCACCTCGGTCTCCTGAAGTGTTGAGATTACAGGTATGAGGCATGCCCACACCCTTTCATCTTCTACTGTTGAGGATTAACATCAACACCGTAAAAGCCATACAAGCACGGCCTTGAGTTTATCTTCTTGAATATTCTATTCCCCAGTACGTACAGAGAAGTAAATGCTAAATAAATATTTGTTCTAATAAGCAGAGGCAAGAAAACAAGTTAGGCAATATTGTATAACCTCTACTACCTTCTAATAAAATTTCTCTGGAACAGTTATATGCGTACTATAAAGACATCAAAATCCACAGCCCATAATATCTTTAAGCTTTAATGTAATATTTTGTTTTAATAATAGTTTGTATTTATTTTAAAGCAGTTTTAAAGTCACTTTTGTCATTTATTGATTCAAAATAAGCCAAATATCAAGGAATAATTTGTGTATTTTAAACTCATGTGTAACTCTTTTTAGAGCTAAATTTTTATCTTTAAAGTCTAGGTTTCTTTCAGATCAGAATGTAGCTTCCAGAATGCAAAAAGGATGTTAGCTATATCTGCAGTTCATAAACAGCTTGTCAATCATTGTAGATTTCATGAACTCCATACATATTTATCACTGCATTCATTTTTAAACAAATATTGTGAAAGAGTGCACACAGTGTGAGAAATGTCATCTAAATGCTAAAAAAGGCCTGTAAATATCAATTCTTAATGTTAGGTTCCTTGTCTATCATCAAAATAAATATCAGCTTCTTGTCCACTTTCAATTTTGCTGAATACCACCTACTTATAAATTAGCTATAATGATTCAAAACACACAGTTCTATTTTGACCATGATTTCTCAATTTTCCTCCCCTTCCCCAAAATCATGATTTGAAAAATTAAATGTAAAAAGTATTTACAAACCTCCATCCATCCTTCTGGAGGTAACTGAAGGCTCCATCAACAACACTTGCAAAGAACTGCCCTCCTGTGATGAAGAGGGTATTAATGGTGACTAATCGGCCTCTTAAATTGGGTGGTGAGACCTCCGCAATGTACACTGGCACTGTCATAGAAGCAATGCCTGTAAAAACAACGAAAAGTAAACGTGAGACATTTACTCAAGATTTCTGTTGTTATAAATGCTTATGCTAGATTTAGGCATACACTTACATATATGGGCTTGGTTTTCTACTTTAAGCAAAGGTTTACCACATATTTAAGATTTTGTTCTTAACTAACTCGAGGCTACTGCAGACAAGTAAAAATGTATGTAAGATATCATTTTGCTTATTATCACTTGAAAGCCTACAAATGAAAGCATCCTTAAAGGCTAAGATAATTTCAGAGTGAATGTAAGTGTACTTTATAACTTCTTGAGGACTAAAAATACAAAAAAAAAAAAATTCTCTAGATAGAATGATTATAGAAAGATTTTTAGTCTATATGGAAATGTAATCAGACAATAGTAAGAATAAAAAATTATCTTAGGATACATATTAACTATTCAAAGACATAATTAGATGCCAGTAAATGCACCAAAACTTTCCACTGGTTTACTAATAAAAAATTCACATATTAAATCACCTTATTCAATTGGCTGGGTGTACATCTCAGAATAAAAGAGTTTTACAGCTAAGGTATATTTAGTTACATTAGCTTTAAACCTTTTTCCTATCTGAAATTAATGCAGCATTCTCTATTGCTGTAGTTCTAACTTCACTGATAACCAGAATTACTTATGTGACTTTTTTCTTTAAATAAAGTTGCTCCTACCTCACCTACCCCAGACCTACTAAATAGAAAACCTCAAAGGTCAGGAAGAGTTTGCCTTTTTAAAATTCTCCAGAGGTGATCTTGAGGCTTACTGTGTATTTAAAAACCTAAAGTTCTATAGTACAGAACATTGAACCAATCCAAATTATTTCTTAAAGTCTCACCCGCTTGTGGCATCTGCAATTTCCATATATGTCTGATTATTTACACTACTTTAGCATTTAGTATTATTTAGCCTGTTGTATTCATCCTTAACCAAATGTTGGACATCTATGGATTTGCTTTATCTAATCAACATTCACCAAAGCCTCCATAAAAAAAAAGATTGCCTAAAAAAATTTAATTTTTTATGTCTCTAGATATAATAAATCAATCCTTAGATTAAGCCAGAACATCAATAAAATGAATAAAACAGATCTATATAGAACTGCTTTTAACAAACTGCTTTTTAATGAATTTATGATGGCAAAAAAATAGTTTGTATTGCAGAAATCAGTACTAAGAAACCTGCTGTGTGTTTTCTTGAACAAGGGCTGCCGAAGGTGCTGTTTATCACATTCCATAATGCAAGAGGCATTTCTCTATGGTCTCAATAACTGCAATAGTTGTGATTTTTGTTAGTTGATGGCTAATAAAAATCGCAGGATTTTTTCTTTATTTCTCTTTTAATGTACACAAAGAGGCCCACCTCTACCCAATTTTTTGGACTTCAAGGTATTATTTTGTGACCCAAACTCTCTCCTAATGCCATAACAGTCTGTAATTTCTCCTATTATATTTTTCATCTATTTTTATTTGCTTTATTGTATCTTTGAAGAAGGCAAATAAATATATAAATGAACAGAGAAATGAGATTTATTTAATACATATTTATTTGGGAAAATTCACTGTATTAGCACATAACTCCTGATAAGTAGTTATTAAATCTGCACACAAGTCAAACCATTAAGTCTCAGAACTAGATACTAATTTCCACCAATGTTATTTACTACTGTAGTGGCTGTCAATAATCTTATGACTTCTAGTTTCACACAGTAGTAGGCATGTACTAATAGACACAGAATTAATAAATTATTAATTTACATTGTATTAATTTAATACATATTAACTTAAATGTATTAATTTACAATTAAATTGTCACCTAAGCAAATGAAGTTTCCATTTGACTGCTAATTAATTCAGTAACACAGACCACCTTGAAACGCCCTCATCTGACTTGGAAAAAGGAAGCAAATATCTGCTGCAAATGTTGACGAGGTACTTGTATATTCCTTTTAGTTCTCTTACTATTAAAACATCTCAAACTTCCATAAATCAAACAATAATTTAGAATTTGGATTTCATTTTCTGCTTTGATCTGACTATAAATAGGATTTTGGTTGCTCTCTTTAGACAGAGATCTTACCATGTAGCCACGGAATTGAGTATGGGAATTCAGGTCTGTGGTTTTAGGCAACACATGCTCATCAAAAAAACCCAAAAAACAAAAAAACAAAACAAACAAAAAAAATTACATAGATTTTACTTGATGGAAATGCAAGTATGTCCTCAGACTCTGATAAAGCTTGATTGTTTAAAACACCAGAGCTTTGAAAGTAACACATACTGAAAAGGGTAAAGACTGAAGACAGATTCACTGGATTTGGAGTTGAAAAGAATCATAAAAGACCTTCTGTCCAATGAGAGTTCAAACTGACTTAACACTGCGACAACTGCCTACGCTCAAGAGATATTTTACAGGAACTAATTATCTTATTTAATCATCAGGACATCCCTTTAAAGGGCATGTAATTATCTCTATTTTTCATATCCCAGGTCACACAATGAGTAGGTAGAAGAATCAGAATTTAAAGCAGACAGGAAGATTCTAAAACCCAATTAAGATGGCACAAACTATATGGACTGATCATCCTAAGTAAGGGGAGGCTCTGGAACCAGTGGGTTTCAATTCCTGCCTTGCCACTTAACAGCTGGTTAAGTGTGGCAAACTCACTTAACTTTTCTGGGTCTGAAGTTCCTCATCTATTAAATGGGATGAATAAAAGTAACTCCTTCATAGGAGTTGAGAGGATTCAATGAGTCAAATAAAACACCTAAAATTGTGCCTGGCATAGAGAAGGTGGTCAATAATGTTAGCAATTATTTTTATTCTTATTATCATCTCTAGTTGTGAAGCATCACCAACTCTTTCTATTCAATTCAACCTATAGTAGGTGACAGAATTATAAGAATGAATACAAACAAATAAAATAGGGTCCCAGCTATGAAGGAAAGTATACAGAAGACCTACTCACAAAAGCATACAATCCAGAAAATAACTGCAAAATAACATGGTAAGGGTCATAATAAAGCTATACACTGGATTCTACTGTGGCATGCTGACGATAATCAGGTGGTAGCTGGAAAGGTTGGGCAGATAATTCTGCACAGAACAGGAGCTTAAAATACGTGAAATGGCAGGGGGTTTTCTGAGAGATAAATAGAAAATGTGAGAAGGAATATGTGTGCAGATAAGATGTGAGAGACAGAGAGCACCCAAGTCTCATGGAAGCAGCATCCATTAAGCAGTGAGTATTTGTCAGATGCTAGGTCTGAGCTGGGCACTGTGTTAAGCACTTTGGATATAGTGCTGTAGGAGAGAGACATGAGCTCTGTCCTCATGGAGCTTAGGGTCTGCTGCTCAAACTGAATGGGTCTTACCGTAGGGGAAAGTTGAGGAATATCAGGCTATAGCAAAGCGACTGGCCCAGCCTAAGGAGTCAGAGGGGACTTGAATGAAGTCATGTTTAAGCTGAGATGTAGTAAATGAGTAAGTGAGAGTAGGCTGGAGATAGGGGAGAGTTGGGAGGTACTGCAGATGATCAGATCAACTTAGATAAAGGCCTTGAGGCAGAAAGCAATGCATCCTGCTGAGGAAGGGGGACTACATTTAGAGAAATGGGGAAGGATCAAACACAGTGTAAAGAATCTTAAAGGCAAAATGAAGGTATTGGTACACAGAAGCCTCTGAAGAGGGTAGAAGAGGAAGATGGATGATCAGGTTCACATTTTTAAAGGATCATTCTGGTTGGAATATGGAAAATTGATTGCAGGGAAGCAACATGTAAAGTGGCAGCAATGGAGATGGACTGAAATGATGAGATTTGAGAATTATGTCTTTGGTATCTAAGCTAAAGAGAATATGGATAGGATGTGAAGGATAAGGAGAGAAGGAAGTTGAGGATGATGTTTTGATGTCAGGAAAAAGCAACTAGGAGCATGATGGGCACATTGTACAGGGATGAGGGGCAAAAATTAAGTTTGGGTGCAAGGTAACAAGGTCAGGTCATAGAGGGATTGAGTCAGAGGAGTTTTGCAAAATACAGAAGTAGATAGTAAGTGGCGTGCTTGATGATGTGCTGTGAATATAGATTATTTACATGTGAGTGTTCCACCCCCTCACTCTCTCCCTGACCCGATAAGGTCTTTATCAGAATACCCTGTCTTCTCCTTTATCCTCAAGGGACAATTTGGTCTTTGTCAGACTAGTTCTTGGGATTTTATCATGTTGGGCAAAAAAAAGGTGGAGAAAAGAAAACATGGGCAAATAATGTGGTTTGTAGGGAGAAGTTAAGAGCAAAAAAAGGCAGAAAACAGTTGGGAGAGTCTTGGGGTCGGTCTGGGTAAAATGGGAGCCTATAACAAAGGGAGTAAGCCTTGAGTGGTGAAGCGAGGAGATGACAGCGAATTTAAGAAATAATGTTGATTTGTAACCTACCTGCTATTATATTCTTCAAGAGACATAAGTTAAGAGCAGTTCTGTCTTGCTATTGATTTTAGTTGCTGGACTATATTTCTTCAAATGCAACATCAAACTGAGACTTGGCCAGGTAGGGCTTGGGAGTCATACAACTATGTGGAGCTCAAAGGATGGTTCTATGTGGACAATGAACATAACTGAAACTATGGAAATGGATAAGATCACTCAATGGCATATGAGAAGAATGCTTGGAATAGAATCCTGAAACAGTCCAACAACTAAGACCTCGGAGTGGGGAACTGAGAAAGCAGATGACCAGCAAATATCTACTTTACCTTTCAATACTATGTTACTTTTAAAGTCTTTCTATGTTATTGTTTTGTCTTATGTAAAATCATACTATCAACAGGCAGATGGGACAGATATAATTTATTACTCCCCTATGAAAGGTAGTGAAGCCCAGTCCCAGAAACAGATACAAAGAGATTTCCAGAAAGTCACATGGCAAGTGAATGTCAAAATGGGTCCCACAGATCTAGGTCCCCTAACCTTTGTAATATGTCATTCGA